AGGGTATAGGGCCCCTTCATTTCAGGGGTAACCACATCTATATTTTCTTGACCATTCCTTACTTAGCATGCAAAGGTTGAGGGTGTAGATTATAGTTATTATTTAAAAAAAGACATATATTTGCAAATTTTCTATTTACTAGAATTATCTAGCTGTGTATGTTTTGTTTCCTCTCAGTAAATTGTAAGCTACTTGAGAGAAAAGACTTTCTGTTTTTTTTGTCTTTACAGGAATGAATAAATGAATGAAAAAATATTTAATAATAATTTACTACTGTAAGTCAGGCACTATACGAAACACTGAAGCTATTCTTGTCTCCAAGCCTTTCACGTTGGCTGTCCCCTTATGTCTGGAACGCTATGCCCCTTTTCTCCTGGTTTCCTTAAAGACTTTGCTCAAATTCCACCTCATGTAAGATGCTTTTCTTTTTTAAAAAAGTTATTTTTTTCTTTATTTTTTTCAATTAAGAAGCATTTATTTTTTCTTTCTCACCCTGACCCCTCAATTCAGGAAAAAAAAAGAAAAACAAAACTCTTGTAACATTTACATTTAGTTCAACAAACTCCCACATCGGCTACATCAAAAAATGTAGGTCTTATTCTGTATGTTGAATCTATCATCTGTCTGTCAGAAACTGGGCAGCCTGCTTCATTATTGGTCCTCTGCAAAAATCATTGGTCATTCTATTGATCAGAGTTACCAACTGTTTCCAAATTTTGTCTTTAGTGTCATTGTTATGGTAGAAATTATTCTTTTGTGTCCTGCTCACTTTACTCTGCCTCAGTTCATGTAAATCTTTCCAGGTTTCTTTGAAACTATCCTTTTCGTTTGTTATCACACCATAGTATTTGGTGACATTCATATACCATAATTTTTTCAGCCCCAAATGATAGGCACCACTTTAGTTTCTAGTTCTTTGTTACTATGAAAACAGCTAGTATAAGATGTACAAATATATGTAATATATAAGTATATATGTATATATATGTACAGACATATACACATACAGAAACACATACATTTTTTAAAAGTTCTTTTTATAGTGTATTTTATCTTATTGCCCTGGGGCACTATGCTCCTTATTAGTGAGAGTTTACCGTGTCTAGGTACCCCCAGACTCACACGGACACTGTCTGGCCATCTTTGGTTTGCTACCTTGCACCTCCCTCCAACTAGTTCCCACCCTAGGACTTTTGTGAACCTTACTGGTGAGAGTTCATCGTATCTAGGAACCCTCAGGCCTATCATATTGTATGCCAACTACATGTATTCTGGCCGTCCCCCTGCCTTGCTACTGATATAACCCACTCCAGCTACTTTTCCACCTCTTATCTGGGAACAGTAGTCTAACCAACAATAATATTCCTGGGTGAGCTCTCTCTTTTCTCACTGTCTTCATCTCAAATTTTCTTGGTATCATCTACTGATACTCAGTAGTGGCATCACCGGGTTGAAAGATTAAAGCAGTTTGGCAATTTTTCTTATAGAATTATAGCTTGTTTTCCAGATCATTTGTAACAAATTCATAGTTCCACCAAAAGTATAGTAGTATGCTCTAATTCCTTTCTGATATTTTACTGTCTCCCTATTTTATTATATTTGGCAATTTGATAGATCATTTTAATTTGCATGTCTTATTGTTATTAATTTGCAGGGGTGGGGAACCTGCAGCCTCAAGGCCACATGCAGTCCTCTGGGTCCTCAAGTGTGGCCCTTTGACTGAATCCAAACCTCACAGAACAAATCCTTTATTGAGGGGATTTAAAAGGATTTGTTCTGTGAAGTTTGGATTTAGTTTCTTTAGTAGGTTGCATTTTCATTTTACAAACTCTTTCCAATTCTTATTTTCTTAAGAAGAATGCTGGCGGGCAGTTAGGTGGTGCAGTGGATACAGCACCAGCCCTGGAGTCAGGAGGACTTGAGTTCAAATCCAGTCTCAGACCAGACACTTGACACACACTAGCTGTGTGACCCTCGGCAAGTCACTTAACCTCATTGCCTGGCCAAAAAAAAAAAAAAGCTTGCAAGTCATCAATTCTGTTAAAAAGTCATTTTCCCCATAGGATAAGTTTGTAGGATATTTTTTGTTGGGGGCAAGTCATGTACATTTCCTTCTTGTTCTAGGATATCCTAGCTTTTCCTTTAATTTTTCTAGTGTTGATGAGTAGTACTAGATAATTCAAATGGAAATTCCTTGGTATTGAGTTGTTTCTTTCTGGTCTCTTACACTACCTTCTCTCTGTCTTGGAAGCTCTGCAGCTTGATGACAATCTTACTGGATAAATTATATCTAGGGTTCCCTTCTCTGGCAGCCTAAGGACTCTGTTGGCCCCTGTTTTCAAAGTTTTCTGGTAATATCCTTTTAAGATTTCTTGAACTATGAGATATGGGTTGTTTCTTCATGTTCTTCTGGGAGGCCAAATTCTGTATTGCAGGTTACTTGTCTTTGTTAGTATCAACCTTCTCTCTTCTTCCAATTCTGCTCTTTTTTAACTTTCTGAAAAAATTCTTATTGTATCATTAGATTTTTGAATTCTGCCTTCTCCATTCTCCTTTTATGACAGCCACTGCTTTATTAACATTTCCCAACTTCTATTCTAAGCCATTAATTTTCCTTTTCAGGTTTCACCACAAGCTTTAAATTTGTTCCTTATTTTTTCCTATATTGAATATAGGAATACATAATCTACATAGAATGTGTAATAATAATAACATAATTAGAATGTATTTAGTACTTCATAGTTTACAGAGCACTTTACATGTATTAACTCATCTGATCATCACCATGGCCTTTTGGGATAATTGCTACTATTATCCCCACTTTATAGATGAGAAAACTGGGGCTGATAGAAGCTAAAAAGGCTTAGCTTCTTAGATCACAGAGCTAGCTACCTGTTTGAGGCTGGATTTGAATTTAGGTCTTCTGGATTACAAGCCCATTACCCTGTCTACCATGTCATTTGTCTGCCAATAATTACATCTAATACATAATTATTTATGTAATTTATGTGTACATATATTCTTATATATTATACGGTATATGCATATATGTTTACATACATAATATTTATATAGAGACACATAGGTACTATAGTAATATATGTATATATGTATAATATAGCAGGAGTATGCTGGTAAATGTTTAACAACTGGATCTTTGAAAACATGTAACCCAGTTTTAAATTTAATCGGCATTATTAACATTTTACCTATCACCTTCTTAAGCTACACAATCAACAAAACACCTAGTGTTTTTAGATTTCTGAGGCAATACACACATGGAAAATTTAATAATCAGTTTTCATCTGCTGGTACAAGCTGGTTTCAGTATATACTCTGTTAGGCATACTTTAGATAAGAGTCTCTCATAAATATGTCTCTGAAATGGTTATGTTAGATTAAATGAAATATCGACCAGGTTTCCTGTATTTCTAACATTTTATTTTTTTTATTTCCTCTTGAGTCTTCCTTATTCATTTATCAGATGCAATACAGTTTTTGAAACATTTTGGTATTTTCCTCAACTTGCACATGTTCTAAAACCCAGGAATACAGTGCACAACACATCCCTAAGTTTACCAAGGGCTGCTAGGTAAACACAGATGGGCAACTGTAGCAGCCGGAGAAATCAACATCTTTATTCATTAAGCCATCTGGAAACCCAGTTGCACTTTCTTTCTGAACAGTCATTAAGAAGAGACACCTTAGAAGCTGTTGTTAATGCATTTGCTGACCTCAGTCTCCAAAGGTCTCCTTGATAACAGTTAGGTAGTTAGGTAAACAATTGCAGGGTGTTTTAGGGAGACATGCCAATAACATTTGGTGTTGCCTAACCTACAGCACTAAGATGAGGTCTTAGTATAGAAGGCTTCAATATTTAGGGAACCTGAGTAGATCCAAGTTACCACCACAGTCGTCTGGTTTTCACTTTACTAAGCTCTTCGTCATAATGTTTACAAGATCGTTAACACAGGAGGTTTGAAAATGCAACTCAGCAACACAAGAAAAAAAGTCTTAATGAGGACCTGAGTCTCCCCCTCCCTTCTATCCCTCCCACTTCTCTACTAATCTCTTGCAGCTGCTTCTAAAGTCAACTTTGGCCTTCTCGTTCCCCTCAGACCACATCTGCTCCACACACCTGTAGCTAGCCCATCAAAGTCTCAGAACAGCCTTCCCTCCTAACTTCTCCACCTACTGACAAATCCCACCTACCCCTCAACTCCTACTTAACCCATCCTACCAGCTGCTCAGCCCACCTGCGCCTCTACCTGTCAAGTGACCAGCTTAGACATCCCTCCTGGTGTTTTGCCCTCCTGGCCAGCTCCTAAGCTTCTGTACCAATCAGTTGTTCCATTCAGTGGGGAGAATTCCAAACCCATTTCAACAGCTGAAATGAGCAGACCCTTGTCAAACAGTGTTTGTGGCATTAAGAATCGCATAAGTAGATCAAGATCAAAGCCTATCAGGTGAGTCAGGCCTTCATAGGGAACAGTGGCTGTCAGAGCACTGTGTCTGTTATGTCCCCCTGCTCATTGACATTACACCTCCAATGAACAACTCAGTTATCTTGCAAAGGGAAAAAAATTAAAGTTGAATTTTCATTTTCTCCTCTACTTGAGGATAAAAATATGACATGCAAATTTAACCAGGAATAAAAATAGTTTCCTCATCGAAGAGTCATTAAGAGGACATGAAGGGGCTTCTTTGAGATCTCAGAATGTCTGTAATCTGTCATCTGTCATCGCCCATTCTCATCCCGAGATTTTTAACATTCAGAACAAGGATTCCAAGTTTAATGGCACCTTGAGACTAAGTGCTCCCAGGTCCCCATCAAACCTGTCAATGCTAACAGCTGTCACAGAGTGACAACTTGTTCCTCCACTCACTATTTCTTTGTCTGAAATGGCCCTGTAAACAAGTCTCAAAAGCAGTGCCAGGTAAGTGTTCCAAGGCAGGATGGGAAATTCCCATGTTGGTGCTAATGGCGAAGTAGTCCTCACCTGGATTTGCTGTGTCCATTCCAACATTCCTCTTCATTTGACGTGCCAGCTGTCACTCTCTCATCCTTGCAGATAGTGTAGGGTAAAGCAGACCAGAACTTTTTGGACAACTTCAGCTTTTCCTTTATGTCTGTAACCTGATCAAAAGACAGAGAGAGAGGATTCAGTAAAAAGGGTCTTGTCATAAATGCTTTTTCAGACTCTACATTGGAGCACAAAGCAGGTGACGGTTAAAGACTCTGGGGGTATGACAAGGGACAATCCTTTACACGTTGTGCTTTTAGACAGGCGTTGTGCTTTTGGGTCTAATTATAGTGACAAGGGCCTCTTGCCTAGGATGCTTAGTCTTCCTCTAGATTTTAACAGAGTTATCAGGTACTGTAATTGATTTGTTGTATTTGTTAGGTTCCAACATCCTTTGCATTAAATGGTTATAAAGTAAGTAAACTGATTTCAGTTCTTTCCTCCTCTGGGATTCAACTTTCTCAAACCCCCAGATCTATTCCTTAGAATTCACCTTCCTAGCAGTCTGGTAAATGCAGCTAGACAGTGTGTTCTGAGATAAGATGCCAGCTCCAATGGTCTACTTTTTTCTGCAAGAAATAAATATGGTAACTAATTCAGCTCCTGGCAGCCTCCCTTGCTCCTGAGTAGCTGAGAGAATGGTGCAGCACACATTTGCACTGGGATCCGTGAAACAAATCCAGTCCAGGATTCCTTGAACTGGAATGAGAAAAGAAATTGGAATGAAGTTCACGACCTATTTGGAGGAGAGGCTTAGCATAGACATCTCTAGAGACAACTTTCACCCAAACAAAAGGCCCTTCTGGTCAGGAGAAAAAGGTAAAACCCTTTTGGCTCGATGATGCGGAAGCCCTGGCTTGATGAATACATTGGCTAATGAAGCAGCAGGTTTTGTTTTACATTTAGTCTATAAGAACCCCAGGAAAAATCAATGGAAGTAGATGAAATGCACAATATGAGGGGAAACTACTGCTAAATACAGGCATTACATCTGAGATTGATATGGCCTTTGGGAAATAGATGCATCTCTCTGTTCGCTGTTGATAGGACGGGTTTTTAGGGAACTTTATGAGTTATGTTTGAGAAAGGACAATGAGGTTTAAGACAGAACACAGGGAAATCAAGGGCTGTCGTTGTGGTCTTAGCACATCCTTCCCTGTATTTCTAGGTCTAGGACAACGAACAACCCTTTGGGCTCTTTTCTTAACTTTGATTTGAATGATCATAGGATCATAGATCCAGAGCTGGAAATACCTTAGGATCTATTTAGTCTAACTTCTTGCTTTGACATATGAAGAAGATTAAGAAGGTTAACTGAATTGCCCAAGGTCACATGGGCATGAGGGATAGGGTTCAAACTTGGGTATTTCTGTTCCATGTGTCTCTTTTGAACAATAAACTGCATGGAATGCTCCTTAGACTCTAAGGTGTCTTGACATACTTACTGGAAGAAATATCCAGGCTACAATAGCAGAAAGTCCTACATGTGGCGGTTTTTGTTTTTTTTTTTGTTTGTTTTTTTTTGTTGTTTTTTTTTTTGCCAAACCTATGATTTCATTGGTGAAGGGAATTCTGATGAGGAAACTCTCTCCCCCAATGCAGACTGGCAACTGTTCTACAATTTATACTGCCGCTCTCTACCCTCTCTAACCTCACTTATTCCTCTTCTTACATATACTCTACAAATACCACCTGCTTAAGGGTGTGGAAAAAGTACAGGCATAATGATATTACAGAGATTAATTTTGAATGAGAAAATAGTTGTCACCCTGAAACTGGAAAATACCTAGTTCCTACTATGGTTATTGTGATTGAATCAATTGTAGGCAGAAATTTTCTATGAAACTCCCATTCCTTTCTCCATAACATACATGCAACTGATAAACACCCTTCCTTTACAGCCCCCAGCCGATCAATAGTGAGGTGAGAGAGGTCTATTGTTGAAATCAGCTCTCTATTAGAACTCCTTCTCTACAGACTTTAGCCTTCTCATCGGTTAATATTGGATACTGGAATAAAGTACAATTCTCCTAAAAGAAAGATCTATTGTTGAAATCAGCTCTCTATTAGAACTCCTTCACTACAGTCTTTAACTTTCCCATTGGTTAATATTGGACACTGGAATAAAGTTCAGTTTTCCTAAAGAGGATCTGTGGCTGTTTGAGATTGCTACTGAAAATCCCTATTTTAATCAAAATACAGCTTTTTATCCATTTCCAACCCCCTTGCATTGTGCTCCCTTCTCAGGCCTCGAAAAGGAAAGGTGACCTCATAGATTACTTTCTGTAAATACCAAGGGGAAGCCAGAAGCTGAGTAATTAGTAACACTACCAGAGGAGGTAAACTCTAAACACATTCACCTTGAGTTTGAAAAGAAACTGGTGTCTTTGGGCCCATAATGTCAGTTTGGACCCATGCTGCTTCAAGGCACCATATAATAAGGATGAAATTTTTTTCTCCTGTTTTTTTTCTCCTGTGTTTATTGTCATCCATGCACCAAAGAATAACACTGAATGCAATCCCACTTCTTTAATCATGTCAAAGGTCTGTAATTTCATTTATTTGTGCCCTCTCCCCACCAACGAAGATTCGTGACTCTGCTAAAGCTTTGAAGATTTTTCTCTTGGGTATGCTGGGGGAGAAAAATTCATCAGACTTCAGCCAACCTATTGCTTATCCTGTTGATAATGAATGTCTATTATCCCAATGTTTGCAAAACATTAGCAGGTCATGATGAGATGAGGCCAAGGTTATAGGTTTGTGACATTATCAGACCAGTTCACTTCCCTCTATTCCATGATCAAAGACTATATCCTTAATAATAGCTAGCTGTGGGATCTTTCCAATACTCTGTCATGAAAGGGACTGGGTGACGGAGTTTGGTGATATATTTCTGCAGTTCTCTCCTCTATTACTGCTCTTGGGAAAATAAATCATAGCTGACTACTGATGGTAGGTGGGTAGCAGCATCCTTGTACATGAAGGATAGCCCTTTAAAAAAGGGAAGGAAACAAATATTTATTAAGAGCCTACTATGTGCCAGGCACTGTACTAAGTGCTTTACAGATATTATCTCATTTGATAATAACAGAGCACAGTACACCAGGATTTCAACAGTACATTATTGTCTCTGTGCTACCTTAGTCCTAATTGTATTCTGCATGGAAACAATGGGAAAATATATTGCCAGATTGTAATGACAATGCAGATGGCAATAAAAAATGGAAGAGATTAAGAATTGGTTTTTGGACTCAGATGTTTGTCAGAAAGATTTTACCTTAGCTTTCAGTGTCTAGGGAATGTTTTAATTTCAACACCTGTTTTATATACTTTCCAGTTTCTTCCTTTTTAAACAACATATACAACTCCAGTTTAATTATACACCCATGACCTTGTTTTTTTAAAAGAGGCAAGCAAGAAGAGAAAACTCAATTGTATGGCCTCATAAACAAACCTTTATTGTTGCTTGCCTCTCAGGATAAAATATGATGAAGAGAACATGTGACCCTTAAATCATTAAAAATCCAGGCCTGAGGAAAAAACAATCCTGGAATCAAATTTAGCATCATTTGTTTCTATCTCTTTTTTTTCTGCTCCAAGATTGTTTCCCAAGATTCATTGTGATCTAATTTTGAGACAGATCTATGATAGGGAAACACATTTGTAATGGGGGCTGGTTCATATTATCATTCACTGAGTACTTCTGATGTATTTTCCCACATGGAAGAAGCTAGGGACTCAGGAGAGTCTCGATGAAGTGTAATGGGAGTTCCATGGAGATTTTGGCGCCTATGTAGACATATAACTGATTTAGGGCTGCTGAGTTCATGTTGAATGATTGCACAGCCTTTGAATTGACTATGGCTGCAGAGTTAGATCTGGGGGAGGGGGCATTAGTCTCCTTTGGCCTCTTTCTCTTGGTTTAACTTCTTCTCTTTGGCTCTGACTTTTTCCTGCCAAGTGACCTTGGGGGAGAGATAATGTGATAAGGGCAGAGGCCTGGGGCTTTCTCTTATCTGAGGCTGACAAATGATCCTGAGAATACAGATCTCAGTTCCTCACCCGTCTCAGCATTCTGCTCTTTTGTTTTAGGTGAAGGAAGTTGGAGTCTACAACCTGTGAATTTTGAAAGGTCAAAAGAACAAGTTTTCCAGGAGTCTAGGAATCTCAGAGTCTGGGAGTTGAGTACTCATCAGGTTTTAGAGCCAGCTCAGAATCAATACCCCAAGGAGCAAGGAAGGACTTGGGTTAGTGGTAGCTGAGGTCTCATCCAGCATTGATGCCTCATTTGGATGTGAACTTGGTGGGACTCTGCAGAAACTGTGCCCGAGTCCTCTCTCAGCAGAGATGGAGGTGGCATGGGTGTTAAGGAGAAATGTTTGTACTTCTTTTCTTCCTTTAACTTCACAGTAAATATCCCTTTGTAAATGCTAATTGATATTAAGTGGTAAAAGAAAACTAAGATACTAGTCATTTGTGGCTAACAGTGGGAGTGGGGAACATACCCAGAATGGGTACAAAAAATAAACAAACTGGGTACCAAAACAGCAAAAACAAAGCTCTCATAACATATTTGGTACGCACATATTTGTCATGAGAGTTTTATTTTTGTTTTCCCTTTTTTCCCCCAGTGGTAAGGGAGAGGGAAGCAGAGAAAGCAAATGCTTGTTAATTGAAAAAAATCTGTTTAGAAAGGAAAAAAAATGAAAGGTGATATATTTAAAAAAGAGGAAGACAAATGTTCTTCACATGTTTGCCCTCATTTACTCTCTGCCCTTACCTGTCCTTTTTACAGAAGCATAGTGAGATAAAAGGGAAAGCAGTCACTTTCTTCTTCCCTTCTGATGGCTAAGAGGACTGAGCCACTCCTTTAGAACTAGGAAACTCAGAGGGAAACATTTTTATATTATTGTGGGTTTTAAAACCCAGGTTGGAGTCACCAGAGCAATCTGGCTATAAGTTAGTCAACCACAAGTTTAACTGAAATGATAGTGCATGGGGTGGGGGGAGACAGAGTGAGAGAGAGAGAGACAGAGAGACAGAGAGACAGAGAGAGAAAGTGTAAGTGTAAGTGTATTAGGGAAGCCTTACCTGCTTCACCAGGTAACTTTAT